GGGAGGAGGAGCAACTTGACGAGGCTCGAGAGCGTCCCGAGGGCTTCGTGTCGCTTGGAGAAGAATCTGACGATGCGAGCGACCATGGGACCCAGGGGCCAGCCAGGGGAGAGACACCTGGCGAGTCATTCCAGGAAGCGATAGAGAGGTTGGTCGAGGAGCAGCGAGAGCTGAGGAAGCAGCTCCTCGATCAGCAGGATAGATTTGCCAGGAACCTCATGGATGCCATCCATGAGCTACGCCGAGAGAGGCATTCCAAACATGACTCAGAGCCCGAGATTAAGCGTCGAAGGGAGAGTGAGCAAGTGGTTTCACCCTTCGAGAAATCGGTTCACTTGGCCCCTAGGGAGGAACACGAGAGAAAGAGTCCCTTCCGTGCACTCCCGAGGGACGTAGCGAGAGTGACCCTGTGTCAATGCGAGTCAAAAGCAGAGTTGATGGCTCACATCGAACACCAGGAGTCCATTCTCACGGCTTACGGCATGGGGGATTACAACGGGAAAGACGGCTCCTTCGTACCCCATGCCGAGCTCGAGATCCTCCTACTCTCCAAAGTTGGGGAGAGTCTGAGGGGAATCGGCCTAGCCACGGAAGCTCAAACATGGATCCGAGAGCAAAGGACCCCTCGATGGGCTGGCCTGAAAGAGATGCTTAAATGGCGACACTGTCGTCGCCATCACCTTCAGGACTATTTTCACAAGGCCGTCGCTGAGTTCAAGTGTGACAACTCTGGTCAGATCGAGAGCTTTCTCACCCAGCTGCGGAGAGCGTACACTCTCCTTATGAGTGTATATGCCGATGACGTCTCCGAGAGGAAACGGCTCGTAAGGCAGGCCATCGGAGCACTGCCGAACTTTGTCGAGCGGGATGCTGTTCGAAAACTGCAAGATCTGGCGCGAGAGCGTGGAGATTGCAGAGATTGGGAAGATGTGAGAAGCCTGACGGAGCTGGAGACTACTATAAGAGAAGCGGCGTTGACCGATGAGGCAGCCTACAGAAGCCGACGAGAGCGTAAGGCAGACC